CAGCTAAGAAGTCTTCTGTGGTAGGTGGCATTTACTAGGTTGTAACTGTCCATCCACAATGTTTGAAGCCAGGATCTGAGCTGGGTTCTGTGTTTGTATTGTCAAATAGGGCAGTAGCGACTCTGTCTAGGGGCAGCTAGGTGACACAATAAATAGAGTGCTCACCTGGAGTCAGGAAGACTCATCTTCCTGAGTTCAAATCTGGCCTCAGACGTTTACTAGCTATGTGACCCTGGCCAAGTCACTTCACCCTGTTTGCCTCATTTTCCTCATCTGTCAAATGAGCTGGAGAAGGAAATGGCAAACCACTCCAGTATCTTGGCCAAGAAAACCCCAAATGGGGTCACGAAGAATCAGACAGGACTGAAACAACTGAACAACAAACTCTGTCTGGCCCCATTGGTCAGCTTTGGTGGCTTATGCCCATCCCTGCCAGCCTCAAGGTTAGCAGTTACACCTCTCATGGAGGCCACATGTGGGCAGATGCTGGAGTAGCATTGGGTAATGTTAAAAGCACTGGGCCCAGAGTCAGAAGACTTGGGTTTGAGAGTCTTGGCTCTGATATTTTCTAGCTGTGTAACCCTGGGCAAGTCAATTCAGCCTTCTGGGTCTTCATTTCTTCCTCTATAAAATAGACATTAAAAAACAAACAAACAACTACTTGCACTCATGGCCTCAGGGTTATTGGATTTATTCTTACTGGTCAACAATGACCTTCCCCTAGAAAATTCATGTATCGCTTTGCTTTGCAATTCTCACTGATCACCTGATGTTGTGTGTTGAGTTTTCTGTACCCTATCTGCCACTATCTGCTGTGAAAGCAGCAGTCATGTCTTATTGATCCTTTGTGTCCCTCTGGAGCCTAACAGTGTTTTCTGGGCCTACAACAGATTCTTGTTCAATATCTGTTGAGTGAGTGAGTGAATGAATGGTGTTTTTCTTTTTTTCCATAAGCAAAAACAATTAAGATCTGAAACAAAGTAAATTATAAGTAGGGGAATCTAGTGGTAAAAGCATTCTTGGCACCCATACATGAATGGAAGCAATCTCATACACCTCCAACAGAGTTATAACTTAATTCTCTCTTAATCCCTTTACATTACAAAAAGACATAGACACTTGAGGACCCCCTGCTTTGCTGATAAATGCTTAGCCTCTAGGAATTTATTTTCTGGGAATCTTGGAAGCAGACTGCACAACAGATGAAACTCCTTGATGAATGGCTCTTTGAAAACATTTGTAAGCATTACTATCTCTCCCCTCTCAATTGGACCTCTAAACTTTATGAGATAGGTGGGAGTGGGATCCATTATCCCTGCATTGAAGAGTAGGAAAGCCAAGAAGAAGTGAAATGTCCACGATCACACTCGGAGCCAAAGCTAGGACCCTGAACCCCAGGTGCTATCCAGATGGATTGATTATTATCAGGAGAAGGCAAAAGTTCCATCAAGCAATGGCTGCGTGTTACGAATCTCTTGAGTGCCCTGCCCTCAGGGAGTTTACGATCAAATAAGAGAAACAGAAATCCCAAGAATTTGAGGACATAAGAGAGAAGATAAAATTAAAGACTTGGTCATAAAGCCCAGATTAAGTGTTGGAGGGGCTCTGCGAGAGGATAAACCTTTGATGAGTCATTAGAACCTTAAAAAGGAGTAGTAGAACATATATAGATAAGTGAATCTTTCTGTGGGATTTTAAGCTGAGGGTCATGTCTGTTCTTATCTCCTATGGAGCAGTTCATTCATAACTCTTGTCACTTGTCAAACCATGTTGAGGAGTGCTAAGCAAAAAATTAAGGATTCGATCATCTTGTCGCATCAGCAAAAAGCTTCCTGGATACTCAAGGCCCCCATTATTGATGAGATGTCATCCTGATTCTTTCTACTGCACCTTTTACCTCATATGCTACCCTAATTGCTTTGCCAACCTGGACTTACAGACAGCTGGAAACTACTATTCCTATCATTTTATCAACCAGGAAACTGAAGGATAGACAGTAGCTTCCTGCCTCAAAGACCATTATCTTTATACCAGGGCTACATTCCTCCATCTATATATTGATAAAAATCACTTAGGCTACTTAACCTCTGAGAATAATCCGGAAGAGACAGAGCCAAAATGAAATAGGATAAACAAAGCACAGGTTAGAAACTGAACCTTATTATACTTAAGTGACAAAGTACACTTTTTTGTACTTAGAAGTTATTTCCCCTTTCATCACATGGTCTTAAAAGTAAATTTGATGTACTTCTGTTGTATTGACTTATATAGTTATTATTCATTTTTCAAGATGCTGGTAACACTTAGGGGTGAACATCCAAGGGTGTGCCCGAACTAGCATGTACAGGTCAGGAGAGATGATTGTTAAATTTTCAATGTGAACATCTACATCTCAGGAAATGGCAAATGGGCTTGACTTATCGTTTTGGTTGATTTCTCAACTTAAGAAAGTGATGGAGAAAATGTTAATATCCTAGACATTAACTGAAAAGTATGTTTCTTTTTCTTGAGTGTCAGTGGTTAAACATTTACCTGTTTTTCTTGAAAAACTAAAAGAAACATGGCTTAAGAAAGTCTCATCACTCTGTTTACACTAACCTAAGGAAGCCCTGCTGATCCCCTGATGGCAATTGCCAGAAACATCTTGAATCACTGTCTGGCAGAGCATCATTCTCAGAACCCATCCCTTTTAACATCATGGAATTATCACAACTTATCCTTTGCAAGCAGTTGTCCAGGACCATTGTGTGCCATGCCTTGGGGCAGAGAGAAATGAAAGGATGCTATGGCCATTGTCTGGGACCAGAGAGCCTGGGGGATATTTGATGAGCAAAGCCATTGTGACAAAGTTCTAACAGAGCCTCGTGAGACTGACACTTTTTCTTTTAAGCGTGAAAATCTGGTAATGCCAGGAAGGCCTCCTTTCATTCCCACAGAGGCATGGCAAAGATTCCAGGTTGGCCTGAAAAGCTGATGACCATTTTACATGGTTGCTCTTGCCATCTGGGGGCCTCTTTAAGGCACTAGAGGAGGCCTTGACCAATTCTCATAAGAACACCATGACATTTGCTGACCATGAATTTCTCTGAGCCCCAGTTTCCTCATCTGTCTTATGGGAGTGTTCAGTCTTCTGCCATCTTCCTCATGGGACTACTGTGGCAAAACCACTTTTGCGAACCTTAAAACAAGTCAGCTTCATTGTTGTCATTATCATCATTGTAACCATCATAGTAGAGCTCTTTGGAGTCAACCTGGATTTGAATCCTGCCTCTACCCAACATTTGCTGTGTGACCTTGGTCAGATCACTTTTCCCTTTTAGTGCCTACGTGTCCTCCTCTATAAAAGGAAAGAGTTGTACTAGATTAGAACTTAGGTCTCATCCATCCTTAATGTTCTATGAGCTCATAGTCAGCCTTGCAAGTATAAGATGGGTAAAGCATGGCTAGATCATAAGTAGTTCATCTGCAAAAGATCTAGGGGTTTTAGAGAACTGGAAGCATAAATCTAATCAGTAAGCATTTATTAAGTACCTGCTGCATACTGGACACTGTACTAGGAAATGGGGATGTAAATAATGAAACGATCCTCACTCTCAAGGAACTTACATTCTATTGGGAGAGACAACACATATATTTAAGAATGTATAGAATAAATACAAGATAATTGGGGAGAGAGTGTTCCAGAATTGAGGGGCAGGGGAATCCGGTGCTTGAGCTGTTTCTTGAAATGTTTATGAGACAGAGGTGAATTGCTACAAAGTGATAGAGAGGAAAAAAGCTAATACGACCTCTTAGGCTACATTTAGAAGTGCCATGTGAATGAAGGAGGAGAGAGTCCTGCTATGTTCAGTCCTGGTCAGAGCATGGTACAGCAGAAAATGTCCTGGATTTGAAGTCAAAGGACCCAGGTTCAAATCCCAACTCTGCTAGGTGACAAGCTACATGACTTCTATGGTCCTCAGTTTTCTTATCTATAAAAGGAAGGGGTAAGGCTAGATGGTCTCCGAAATCCCTCCCAGCTCTAAATCTAAGATCTTTTCAGTTCTTTTTAAAATGTTCCTCTGGCCTCTCTTTTGTCCTGTGGGGGTGTACAGTGGAGACGTCAACACTTAGGAGAAAATGTGACGGTTGTGCCGAATGTCAGAAAATGTGAATGAATAATGCCAAATTTGGGAAGGTTGTAAATATAAATTATAAGCCTCAAGTAGCTCATGCTCAAACTATTCAAAACATAAATAAATTTAGATCTTTCGAAGATGAATCGAATCGAATCTATTGTGTGGCTTTCTGGGCATCATGTCCTAGTCAGGACTTTGAGCAGGAGAAGAAGCCTGAAAGAAGACTGTGAGATTAAGAGGGGTTCAATTGAAAGAAGAGAAGATTGGGAAAGGAGTAGATGGCTGTCCTTTGAAAATCTGAAGGGCTGGCTGTCACATTGGAAGCAGACTTGTTTTGCTTGGCCCCAGAGTGCTGACCTAGACTCAGGGAGAGCATTGCTCAGAACCTTGGCTCCCAGAGTAAAAGCCCCTCCTGGGAGCCCAGAGAGGCTTGGTGACTTGTGGGGAAGAGGAGGAGGCAGTGAAATGGCAGTGGCCACTGTTCTTGTACCACTGAAAATCAGGTTTTACTCACCTGCTTCCTCTGGGTCGGGCAGAGGCAGGCTCCATCCCGCTCTCCTTCTGGTAGGTGTGGAGTTGCCCCTGCCACTCCCAGAGCCCCAAGGCAGAGACCTGGCTAGCATGATGACCCTGCTTCCCCAAGAGGGCCAAGTGTTAACACCTCCAGGGCGTCTGGCTTCCCCACCCCCACCGCTGTGTTTTGTGTCTGCCTCGGCTCTCCGTGTTCTCCCGTGGTCATGCATCTTTGCCTTTGGGTGTCCCTAACCGGCTGAGCAAATCCAGGGGTCCACATCTTCCCAGGTGGGGGAATCTTCCTCTTCTCCTCCTCCTTCTTCTTCTTCCTTTTATTTTTTTTTTTATCATGACGCCTGTTGCTCATAGGTACAAATCAAATGAAGAATATGTGTATGTGAGAGGCCGCGGACGAGGGAAATATGTTTGTGAGGAATGTGGAATTCGCTGCAGGAAACCAAGCATGCTGAAGAAACACATTCGCACGCACACTGACGTCAGGCCCTATGTCTGCAAGCATTGTCACTTTGCTTTTAAAACCAAAGGTAAGAGACGGGGAGCTCCCGCTCCCTTCCTGGGTCCAGGCCGTTCCTGCCAGTGAGCGAGCCCTGGCCTCGTGGGACCAGCCAGGCTCCCTTCTCCCAGAGCCCTAGCTGAGTGCTCACACTGCTGAGCATCAGCTCTGGGGGCCCTAGGGAGCAGGCACCAGCCAGAAGCGCCCCTTTGGCTCTCTAGCCATATTGCAGGAGGGGGCTTCCAACCACAATCAGGGAAGAAGGAAAAAGCAGGCAGGAGGGCTCCCCATTCCCAGAAACCAGCCCCTGATCCATTCATTCCATCCTCTCAGGTTAAAATCCATCCTGGCCAGTACGCTCCCTGACTGTGCCATTGCTCTCTTGGAAATGGCCGTGGTTTTCTCCTCATCATTCCTTTCCTTTGGCATAGCTCTCTAGTGGTTTCCCCGATGGGCTGCTCAAATCTAGCATCCATGCTCAGTCTTACTGGTTTTGGAAGTCCATTCTGCTCGGATCCGCAAAACTCACACATGATCACTGCTCATGGCAAGCAAGGTTTGCCCCCACTCTCACCCACTCCCATAATCCATCCACCTTACCATCCCAAACTCACCTTTTCTCTGTCCTGTCTCCCCAGCACAGAAATGCCTATGGCTCCTTTCCCTCTTCTCAATACCCCATTTCTCTCCTCCACACATGCAGCCTCGTCCTCCCCATCGCCAGCCACAATTCACTTCCTTGACCCAGATGCGGCATGCAGGAGGTAATTTTCATTTGGGCTGGGATGGAGGGGAGACCAAGAGGAAGAGACAGGAAGTGGGTCCAGCATTCTAGCCAGAACCTGGGTGTGCCGGGGCAAAGAAGGTCTAGTGCTGGCAGAGGTAGACTCTCGGCTCTCCTGCTAATGGCAGCACCAGATGGCTAAGGGCCCAGAGCTTAAGAATGAGAGCTGGCTAAGAAGTGTGCAGGACTCAGGATGCTGCCTGGCAGGTCAGTTTTGTTCATATCTATGTGGCTGACATTGCTGCTGGCTGCCTTTCTGTGATATAAGTGAGGTAGGGTAGTGCAGTGGAAATAACCTTGGCCTTGGATTCACTAGGTTTGTGCTCTACCATCCAGCAGCTGTCTGCCCTTGGGCCAGGCCTCTCTGGACCACAACCTGCTCATCTGTAAACTGAAGAACCTGGGCCAGATGATGATCCCTAAGGGCCCTTCTAACCTTAATAATCTGTGCATCATCAGGAAAAAAAAAAAGAAGAAGCTTGGATTCTGCCTAGAGAGCATTTTTTCTTCTTAAGTTAGGCAGCATTGGGCAGAGCTCTGGACTTGGAGTCAGGACAGACAAGTTCAAATTCTACCTCTGACACTTAGTAGCTATGTGACTTTGGGCAAATAACCTTTCTCAAAGTAGGGATAATAAGGATACCTATAATGTTTAATTCATAACAGAGTTGGGGGAAAAGGGAGTCAATGAGACAATGTATGTAAAGTACCTCCCAACACTCCAAAAGAGGCCCTTAACACTTCACCCGACTTCCAGGAGGCCATGGAAGGTGGAGGGGAAAAGGAGAGAGGCAGGAAGCTGCCATATTCTCAGGATCCGCCACAGAGCCCAATGAGGAGCCATTCCTTGGGGGTTTCTCAATCTCTAATATTTGTCATGAAGAAGTTTCTACCATATTACCAACTGGCTGGCTTCTCCTTGTTAGCCAAACGACTCTCTGAAACTGAAAAAGATGGCAGCAGCTTTGTGGTTCCCACCATCACTTTAGCCCATTCAGTTCCACTTCTTGGCTATCTTTCTTTTCCCTCCATTTCTTTTGATAGCTTCTGGGATATTTTCATCTCTGATTTCCTTCAATTTTTTAGGGTTCCCTCGACTTCCCGTGGTGCCCTTATGCTCTCCTCAGTTCTCTCATTTGCACTTGGCATCAGCCTGGGTTTGCTAAGGCTTTTTTATAGATGAATGTATCCAAGGGATCTCTTTTCCCCATTCTTCTTAAGTGGAGTCATGTCAGCAGGGCCTTTTCTCCTCTGGGCGCAAGGAATCAGGCCCTCAAGCCAACAGCTAATTGTCTATCCTGGGCCATTGATCAAAAACAGCAAGCAGTCGGGGGAAGGGACTTGTTCAAAATATTCCAACTGCTGCTGTCGTCCAGCCTCTGTGATATCACACCACCACCCTGGAAATATTTTCTTTCCCCTTGTCTCTCTGGGAGAGAGAGGGCCAGAAGCAGTAAGGCCTGCTTTTGGTGGACCTCAATGATTGGGGTAGCTTTCTCTCTACTTCCTCTCTCTCCCCACCTGGTGTGTGTCTCTACTCACAAGCACCACTGGCCTTCCTGGTGAATTGGGTTGGATGAGTTATCATTCCCATCCCTCCCCACTGGAAAACGCCTTCTGGCTGAGCCTTGGCCCAGCTTTCAAGCTGACCACTTCTGCCATGAGTATCTGTGGGCTTGTTCCCTTCCCAGAACTTCATCAGAGAGGCCATGTCTCCGATGGAGCCAAAATCATTTCAGTTCTGCCTGGTGGAGCTTCAGACCTGTGTCCCTAAACAAAATGCAGGAGGTGCCCCCCCACCTCTCTTCTTTGTACCCCACCCCATTTGGAGGTACTACATCATCCCTATCTTCTGCCCCTTTCCCATAGATCATTTTTTTGGGGGGAGGGGTGCTATTAGCTAATTAGATAAGCTATTAGCTTATAAAGTTCCCTCCTTCCCTCACCCCAGTGGAGGTTAAATTTTATAGGAGACTCTGGAAGATTGAAATGCTTTTGAGACTCTAATGGAACTAATTTAGAATGGTGGAATTTCAGGGACTGTGACAGATAGTGGCAGAAAGGGAATCCCTCAGATCGGAGCCCATGGATGACAAATGACTCTGGCTAAGGCCAGCCCTGTTCAGGAAGACAGCATCCACACATTGAAATCACTGGCTCTACCTGCATCAATCTCTCTGTTCTTCCTTGGGAAGAGTGTTTGACATACTTTTGAGAGCCCACACCAAGCTGAAAGTGATTTCCCCTACTCAGCTGACAACCATCAAGTCTTCTTCCCTCAGGCATCATGGCCCACCCATCTGTATTACCCTTTCTTCCTGGGCTCAATGCAATTCCATTGAACAAGCATTTATTAAGCCCCAACAATTTGTCGGTCCCGGGGGGATACAAAAATGGGTGAGAAAGGGGGACGATGTGGGGAAAACCGTCCCTGCCCTCATGAAGCTTACATTCTCCTGGAAGATCTTGCATTCCACCGGCTCTGTCTGTCTCTGCTTGTTGGTCTGCTTCTCTCCCCTGTCTGCCTGTCTGTCTGTCTGCTTTCCCGTCCTGGTCCCTGCGTTCATATAAGTGAAATTGACTTAGCTTCTCCAAGAGCCAACGGAAGGGCTCTCGGCACAGGATTACGAGGCCAATGGCAGTGGCCCTGAGGAGGGCACAACACTGGGGGCTTGATTTCTCAGTCAGGTGTTGGGGCGAGGGGGAAAGGGGCACACCTGTGCAGAACCTTGAGGCTGGTATGTAGCCCTCCGGTTTCTGGTCCACAGGTACCCTACCACAGTTGGCCATTGACTTCTTCCTGGGTCTAAGGAGATCCCGTCCTTGGGCCGGTTCACAGGTCTTTGAGGCTGAGCAACACAGACTTTGTTATTAGCCACTGTACTTAAGTCAAGAGTGCTCTCTTTTCTCCAGACACCCCATCCTTTCTCCATTTTCTTGACTTCTAACTCCACCCTTGTGATTGGGTTCTGGGACAACCCAGGTCGCTAAAATCTCTCTTTCCTAAAAATTAGAGCCTATCTCCCTGCCAAGAAAGTAGATAAAAGCCATTAACTGTGTTTCTCAGCCAAAGGGCTGTAAGCCCAATGGAGCCTACTCCTGGATGATGATGAAGAGAAGAGAGGAAGGAGAAACTGAGGCTATAAGTCATCTGACCCCCACTTCCTCCACCTTTCTCAGGTGCCTACTCTCATGCTTCAATCCCTAGCTAACCCTGGCTCCTTTCTTTAATCACCAGACTCCTGGGGTGGGTCAGAGAGAATGACACCAGGGCACAGCAAGAGAAATTGGCACCACTTAATCTGCCCAAGCTGGGGTTGGGGCCATGTCATTCTTGGACATTGGCAGTGGAGGCAAGAGTACTGGCTTGGGATTCAGGAGTCCCAGAGTTTCAGTTCTGCTTCTGCCTCTCTGCTAGCACTATGACCTTGGGCAAATCACTTCCCTTTCCTGGGCCTCAGTTTCCCCTTTTGTCAAATGAAGGAGCCCAATTAGATGGCCTGTTAGGTCCTTTCCAACTCTGGTAGCCAACAAATCTGTGAATCTCAATATTGACGCTGGTGTCTCTCCTGCTTCCTCCTCCGAATTCTGGTGGTCCTGATAAGCCAGTCGTTCACCTAACCCACCCTAACTCCACTGCCCTTCCTGTCTGGCTGGAGGCCAAGCTGGAAGGGAGCTGAGGGTAGCATTCGGTGTTGCTTTGATTCAATAGCATTGACTTCAGAACAAGAAGATACGGGTCAAATCTCAGCCCTTCCATTCTCCAGCTATGTGACTTGGACAAGTTCCTTCCTCCTCCCCAGGCCTCAGTTTCCTTCCATATAAAATGAAGAAGCTAGGCTAGAAGATCTCTAAGGCCTCTTCTGGCTCTAACAATGTATGAATAAGAGCCGCCCACGCCCAACCTTTCTGACTGGGATAACCTCTTACCCTCTTGAGCTGCCCTCTGAAGGGAGACTCCCAGAAAGGGAGAGGGTCCCCTTGTTCTTATCTCTGGTCAGAGGCAACCATGGTCCTACGGGCCTCCAGGTCTGCTACCATGTAGCCAGAATGTCAGGGGCAGCACCCAAAGCTTGGTGATGGTCATCACAGCAGATTCAGAATAAGTTTACCTTTCATAGTCATGAGACGGTTTGTGCCCAATCAGGTGCCATGACGATTGGCCTTGGGACCCAAGTAGCTGGCCAAGGAACAAGACCACAGATGACAACAAGGAGAGAGTCCTGACTCTGGAGCCAGAGGGCCTGGGCTCAGACCCTCACCTTCCTAGTTCCTACTGACACCTGCCTGGTCCCCTCTCTTTGGGCTTCCCTGGTATCATGAGGGTCTCAGACTCAATGATCACTAATTTCATTTCCTGCTCAGAATCCTATATGAAATGGGAGCTGAGAGGCAAGAGAGGTCATTGAGGTCTAAGATGGTGAGAGAAGACTTCCCAGAGAAGCTGGGCTTTGTGCTGGACCTTGAAACATGGGCAGAACTTAGATGAACAGCAATCCAGGGAGGGCATCCCAGGCAGAGGGACTTGTGTCCAAAGGCATGGAGGTGGGACTATGCCAAGTATATTGTTACAGATGATAAGGAAGAAAGTTTGAAAATGCAAAGAAAGAGGAAAGTGGGAAGAAGAGGTATAGGAGAGGAAAACTCAAAATAAATTTTTCTGTATATTTCCCGAAAGACAAAAGGATGCAGGTCAAATTTACTTTCAGGAAAAGAATGTAAATGGTCTTGTTGCTGAGGAGTGTGGTTATTTTGAAATCATCCTCAGGCTTGGCATTCCTGGAAGGAGAGGAGTGCGTCTGCCTTTACCATCTGCACCATTTCCCAATCATTCCTTTCCTTCCCAACTGCCCCCTAGCATTCTTCCTCCACTAGTTTCCCAGGGTCTACCCCACCCCCTGCCTCTCTCTCCCTCTCCCTCTCCTGGAGATACCTGGTCTTGATGTGCTTCATTCAGCCAGTCCCACCCCAAGGACCATGACCAACTTGGGGTCCCAGGGGACCCTCCAGCATGATGGGAGAGTCCCTTTGAAGCTCTCATTGGGCTCAGTCCAAAGAGCCTAGCTACCCCAGGCAGGCATGATTCTGTTTGATTCAATTCAGCTTAGCAAATGCTGATTAAGAGACTTCTTTGGGTGAGCCCGAGTCCTACCGAGTGGCAGACACAGGGTCCACATAAGCCATAGTCCCTGCTCTCACCCTAGATGAGGAGCCACACTGAAGGCCTCGGGCTCTGGGGTGGGGGTGAGGGTGGAAGAAGGAAGGAGAAGGGAAGCTCTCTGGTACTCGGAAGGTAGCAACAGGCAGTAGGTAGAGTGGATGGTGGCCCAGAGAAAAAAGAGGTTGTGAGAATCATGGAGAGAGGGGAGAGGGAGAGGAGTGGTACTGTAGCCATTTTCATCCAAGGGTATGATGACCAAGATTTCTGATCAGCCAGCATGAAAAGGATGGAGAAGAGATGAACTAGGTGAGAAGTGAGTAGGAGTCAGAAAAGAGGAAAAATTAATTTCCTCTTCCTTCTTCCCAGTCTCCAGCCTGTGGTAGGTGGCACTCACTGAAGGTGACAAGAGGAAATTCTCCCCCTCCTCTCCCTCCATGGGACTTAGGATCATTAGGGAATTACAGCCTAAGAGAGCTCATTAGGTGCCCTACATAGCAGCTGTGAGCCCTCATGGTTCTAAGATATAAGACAACTGTGAAGCAGCTTAATGACTTTGTGAACAACCATACTATTAGCTTGGGCAGGATGTGGTCATTCACAGAGTAAACAACACACTTCACAGTTTATCTGCAGCAATACTGAAACCAAAAGGAGGACTCCATTATCTTTCTGGAACACATGTCCTCCCTCTACAGGTAATCAAAAACTGGGCTAGGGCTGGGCTGGTCACTTTAGAAGGGGGACAGGCAAGAGAAAGGGGGGCAGGATCTATGGACCTAATTGACTCCAAGAGAAAGCCTAGTATCTTATCCAGATAGCTTAACTTTAAAGACAAACGCATTCGAGATCCAATCTCCAGGATACCCCAACCTCACCAGGCCCAGGAGCCCTGATCTGAGATAATGCTTCATTAAAACCTGCCCCAGTAAAGGTAGAATGAGAAAAACTATCTCTTTCCCTCTGCCCCTTCCTTCTACCTGTCCCTCACAGGCAAGCATGTACCAGCTTAGCAGAGAGATTTCAAGGATGCACAGCCTAGAGAGGGAGAAAAGGCCCTGGACCTGGTCCTGGCTCTGACACGGCCTATTTCCCCAGAGCCATAGCAAGGGGCCCACGAGAGGGGGACTAGGCTTGGGGCTTTGTCTGCCAGCTTGATCTGCCTTCTCTGATCCCAAAGATGACAGTGGGCCAGGACACCCCCCCCCATCCCATCCCAATCCCAAATGCCTAGCATTCTTTGGGGGAAACTTTAGTTGCAGCCCTGGGTGTATGGAGATGTATGTCTTGGTCTATAGAAAAATTTTATAGGAGCAGAAGGCCTCGGCCAAGGGTGCCATAATGGGAGCTGGCCTCATTAACCATGGTGGCAATGTCCAACAAGTCTGCAGTAGGGGAACTTTGTAACCTGTACCTTGTTTCTTCTTATTTTATCTTCTTATTTCATACTCTGTCCCTGACCCTCATCTCCATCCTCACACTACCCCATCCTCATCCCAACTGTTCTTCATCCCCCCCCACTATATAGTCATCCTCCCCCTAGGTCCTCCATGCTCACACAACTCCACCTCACTCCATTATCTCTGCACCCTGATCCCACCCTATTGTCATCCTGTCCTTTTTTCACTCTGCCTTATCCAGTCACCATTCCACTCTTACCCCGCCCTACCCCCATCCTCATCCTCCTTTCTCATTCCATCCTCTAACTCTAACCATCTCATCCTCTCTCATCCTCATCCCAGCCTTCACTCACCCTGACTTCATCCCACCTACCATCATCTGATTCCACCTCATTCTATCGCTATCTCATTCCACTATTGCTACCCAACCTCATTCTCATCCTACCCTTCATCAGCATTCATATCCCAATCTTACAAACGCCACATCATCCTACCCTGACCACCTCATTCCACCACTATTCCATCTCAACCCACCTTCGTTCTACCCACTGTCATTCACTCCCACCCCACTGCATCCCCACTCCGTGGTCACCTTACTCCATCATCATTCCATCTTTTCCTCATTCCTTCCGTGGTCTCTCCTGTTTAAATGTCATCCTACCTCATCCCACCTACCCTCATCCTGTTCCAAAGCACCCCATCCTTGTCTTCCCATATACCACCCTCCCCTCCCCCTTCCTAGGCTCCAGCCTCTTTTTTGGGTGGCAGCTCTGGCTGAATTTCCACATTTAGATATGATACCTTCAAAGCAGCCTCTGCTCTGCTCTGCTCGATTACTCTGGGCCCCCCTCATCCCTATGCTCCATCCCCCACTTCCCCTGTCCCAGGCTCTGAACTAGCCCCAGCTCTGCAGATGTTGCTAGGGCTGGCTGTGCTGAGACTCTCCTCCCCTGCCACCTTGGGCCCCTCTCTGCCTCTTCCACCAGCCTCTCAGGAAAGAGACATGCTGACCTTTGCCTCCATCTCTCTGTGCTTCCTTCTAGGGAATCTGACTAAGCACATGAAGTCCAAGGCTCACAGCAAAAAGTGCCAGGAGACGGGGCTGCTGGCGGAGCTGGAAGCCGAGGAAGGTATGATCCTGCCTGTGCCCAGCCCGGCCCTAGTGGAGATGGCCATTGGCCACTGGGATGGGATGAGGCAGTGCGAGAGCTCTGCTCTGGGAGTCAGGAGTCCCATGATCCCCAGACATCACCAATATCCAGCTCAGATGCTCTGTGACTGTCAATCTGACTCTGTGGGCCTCAGGCCCCGACAGTCCATGGTTCCGTGTTCCAGTCACCCTGGCCTTTGCCTCTTTCTGTCTGTGATTCAAGTCCATGGCCCAAATGGGAACTTCCTCTTGATCATCTTGAAACAAGCTTCCTCTGCTCAAAATCTTCCTGGCTGGGCAAATTCCAGCAGATGAGATTATCTTGAATTGAGCATGAGTGCCCCCCAGCGGTAGGATTTCTGAAGCTCTCCTCCGAGATCACCAGTTTTTCCTACATTGCAATTTTCCCCAGTGGCTTTTCTGCAGCTTTTCTTCCTGCCCTGAAATTGGGAGTGGAGGAAGATGGGCAGGCAGGAGGGTGGGGGGTGGAGTGGGATGAGTTGAGAACAACCCACCCCTATCCAGAGGCTTTGGGAGCCATCTGTGTGCCAGGATGCAGAATCACAAAGAATGTTGGGATGGGATGGGCCCTTAGAAATGGTCTGGACCAGGGGTGGCAAATCTGTGGCCTCGAGGCCACTTGTAACCCTCTGGGTCCTCAAGTATGGCCATACTTGAAAACCTAGAGGGTCACATGTGGCCTCGAGGCCACAGGCTCCTGGTCTAATCTCTTAATGTCACAGGGGAGAAAATGAGGCACGGATATCTGCCTCCTCCTCCCCCCTGCCCACGTCACATAGCTACAAGTGTCAGAAGGCTGGTTTGGACCAGGAGTCTCCTGATTCCAGGTCCTGAGCTCCTCAGCCCTAGCCAGCTGCTGTCTCCTATTCTGACCTGTTGTGTTCAGCTCTGAGGCCACGTGCGATGGGGAAGAAGGGACTTTATAGTCTGATGCAGGTTCGGTGGAGGCTGGCCAGGATGGGGAAGCGACTAGAGACCAAATGAGGATTGGGTAAAGGAGCTGGGGGGTTTAACCTGGAGAAAAGGAAACTTGGTTGGGGATGGAGAAGGAGGGAACCCAATCCCTGTCTCGGGTGTCCCAGAGGGCTATCTGTGGAAAAGGGGTTCAACTTGTTTTCCTTAGACTCAGAGGGAAGAGCTAAGAGCAATTAAGGGGAATTTTCAGGGAGGTAGATTTCAACTCCATAGAAGGGCAAACTTACTGACAGTTAGAACTGTTCAAAAGTGGGATGGCCCACCTGGGGAGGTAGTGGGATGGGATGGGGCAGTGCTAGCCATCTCTAAGTATAGGTTGAATGGAGTAGTTAGCTGTTGAAGTGGATAGAGCACTGGCTCTGGAGTCAGAAGGGCTTGAGTTCAAATCCAGACTCAGATTATCTGTGTGACCCTGGGCAAGCCATTTAACCCCTCTTGCTTCCCTCCTTCCCCGCCCCAAAAAAAAGTACAGGTTGAATGACAATTTGTTGGGTTGGGATAGAGGATATTTCTACTGAAATATGAGCTGGACTTTATGCCCTCCCTTCCCCGGTCTCTTTTAATGATGAGATTTTGTGATTCTGTGAAATTACTTCCCTGGGCCTCAGTTTCCCCATCTATAAGAATATGGGCTTGGAATAGATGCTCATGGTGCAGCTGGCATTTATAGAGGGCTTCAAGTTTTACAAAGCATTTAATGTTATCTTTAAAGTCCTAACATCTTGTTTCTATAATTGTACCTGTGGTGCAAACAGAAAGTTCATTTTGATGATGGATAAATTTCTTCCCAGCTCAAAGCTCTAACATCATTACCCTTCCCTAGCCTCCACTTCCATAGAAGGTAACCAAGGCCCAGAGAGGTTAAGTAATTTGCCAAAAGTCACACAGCGAGTTAGACCCCAAAGAAGGCCTCAAGCCTTGACTCCAAGCCCAGGACTCTTTCCATTATACCACTAGGCTCCCATCCAGAGAAGTACTCTAAGTGCTAGAGGCTATTTGATGCCACATTGCTATTTGGCCAGTGGTCAGTGGGATACAGGTTGTACTCTCTTCAGCTTAGACAGGCCCCCCAGTGACCAAAGGCTTAGAGTCATAGAATAACAGAGCTGGAAGGGGCATTTGGGTCATCCAAGCCAACCGCATCATCTTACAGAGAAGGAAAGAAAGGCCTGGAGGGGGATGTACTTTGCTCAAGGCCATGCATCCTTTTGTGAGCTGGACACCATTGTGCCGGCCTCTCCTGCAGAAGATCCCCTCAGTGGAAGAAACTTTTTCTCTGCCTGAGGGGCCATCATAGCCAGCCCTGTATCCCAGGGTCTTTGAAGGGAGGGATGGGGCCTGAGACCTGGTAAGTGGGGAGACCGGTCACACTTGACCTTGTCTATGCCCCTGACCTTGGTCTGTCTTCCCTTCAGGAGCCAGTGACGACCCCTTCCAGGATTCTGAGGGGCGGGAGGGCTCTGAGGCAGTGGAAGAGCACCAGTTTTCTGATCTGGAGGAATCTGATGAGGAGGAGGACAATGAAGATGATGAAGATGAGGAGGAGGAGGAGGAGGAGAGCCAGGATGAGCCTGCTCTGAAGCCCTCAGAAGGGCCACCACCTACTGGACACTCAAAAGCTAGCTCTCCACCGGCTCAGGACGATAGCCCCCGAGCAAGCCCATCTTTGCCCCAAGATGTTACCTCGCGTGACCAGCCCGCAGCAAGCTCGAGATTGGAGGCGAGGTGGCCAGCAGACTGGAGCGAAGCTGCCACCTGCCAGAGCCACTCATGTCTCCACCGGCCAGCTCCACTATCCCGGGAGCCTTTGGCTCCTGGCGAGCAGGAACTGGCCCCGAACCAGCATGGGGGGATCTTAGCCATGGGCCCGTTGTCGAGCTCCCAGGCCCCGTCCCCAAGAAGGCCGTGGTCCCCTGGGAAAGAGCCCTGCAGCAGCAGACCCATGGTCCCCCGAAAACACTCACTAACCAAAAATGAAAGTCCTCCCCAGCGCTTTGCACCAGCTGGAGGAATGCCATCCTTCCAGTGCGGCTCTCCGGGGAGAGGGGCTTCACCCGGTCTATGGATGGCATCTCCTCTCAGGTGCATGTCACCCTCAACTCACTTGTCCCCAACAAGAGAACTATCCCCACAAGCCTATCTCCCACCAGAGGGCAGGGTCTCTCCGGAGAGGAACTTGTCTCCCAGCCAGGAGATGATCCCTATGAGACGCTCATCCCCCAGGAAAATGTCTCCAGGACTTTCTGAGTCCCCCCCACGGTACCCACTGCCAGGGAAAAATGACTTAGTGTTCAGAAGTGGCACAGTAGCAGATGAGCAAACCCTGGGCAGTGTTACAGTCACTCAGCGTGGTTTCTTCTCTCAAAAGCCTCTACCTCACAAGCTCCTTGGCAAAAACGTGGAGACCTCGGAATCCAAGATGGTGAGTTATTGTACCCTTTCAGTGGGTTTTCCTGGGATCTTCTTAAGGGGAGCATTTTTTTCCTGCACTTAAGACATTACCCCTTAGGAGTATAAAAGGAGAAAGGAGTTAGGAAGAAGGGAGTCATTCTCAGAGGTTGTTTCCCCTGAGCAAGATCACAGTAGCAGCCTCTCCCCCTAGGTTTAGCATCTAGCCTGTGTAATTGAGTTTCCAGTCCTTAATTGTTCTTGTGGATACATTAAAGAATTAATACCATATCCTAAAACTATTATCACCATTGACACCTTGAGCACCATCCATGTCCTCACTATCACTCCCACTGTCATCCTCATTTTCACTACCATCCCCATCATCACTATGATCATCTCCTCCTGTAACATCATCATAAGTACTATCCCCAACCGCATTATCACTACCTTCACCATCACTGTCACTATCCACATTATAGCCATCATGATCACCATCACTACCATCAAGATATCCATCCCCTGAGCACCAATGCTAATTCCACTATCACCATGAGCACCATCACCAACTTCACCATCACCATCCTCATAATCATCACCATCATCGTGATGACAATCTCCTCCTGTGACATCATCATTGCCATTACAACCACTCTCCTCATCACTATCCCCCACCACCATTACTAACCTCTCCCCTACTACCATTACTAACGCTCATCCCCTACACTCGTATCTTCATTACTATCACTATCAGCATCACCACTATTATCATCACCACAACTATCACCCCCACCATCATTACCATCACTGTCATGAAGAGCACCGTCACTCCACCATCATTACCCTCACCATCAGCACTACTATTACTGTCCCCATTACCCTTACTGCCACCACCATCACCACTGCCACTCAACAGGCCTTTCTTTGGTATCTGTTAGTGTATGGTTTGCTATATCCACACAGTTCCTTTTGTCTAGAATAGAGTATGCCAGACTCATGGCCCTCAGCCAGCACTCTCAGTAGGCCTGAACCAGATTAAAATGTCATTGGGAAATATCTAACAAAATAAATAAAAACACAGCACAACATAGATCATGTCAATTTGTGGTTTTCTAAATCTATATGCAGCCAACAAAGATCCATTTAATTTTGATACCACTGGTCTAGAACCTAACATTGTAAAATAGTATTTTGCCTGATCTCTGATCAGGGAATTTTTTTCTTAATTTATTCAGCATGTCTTTTTGTTTCCAACAGAGATCTTAGGGGGCCGGGGGATAGAGAAGGGAGTGGGTTTCAGCACTGTGTCCAGACCACGTATTAGCTTCACTTTCCCTTCAAGGGCACGCACCATTTCAAACAAGGGGATCTGGGGAAGCAGAAAGGAGACACGGGATCTTGGGTGTTCACTCACCCACAGTGGCCTCCCTGAACCTCCTGGCCATAGGTGATGCCCAGGTCCAGCCTGAGGCCTAGGCTTGCTATATGACCTCTACTCTATGCCAGGCCTGTGACCCCGTTATTCACCCTCGTGATTAGCCTGCTGTTGTGCTTATCCCTTGTGTCTGTGTCTGTGTATGTGTGTGTGTGTGTGTGTGTGTTTGTCTTTGTTACCCAATGCAGAAGTTGGAGCCCAGAAGCCCAGCCTGCTCACCAGGTCCCGCTCACCCGTTTCCCTCCAGACCCTTCTCTTCACTTCATGAATTCCATGGCCACATCCCAGGCCGGACAGGAGAGAACCTCTTTAGCCATCTCCCTCTGCATTCGCAGCGCTTAGCCAGGACCCCATGCCCCATGATCCCCATTGGGGGGATCCAAATGGTCCAGGCCAGGCCCAGCACCCATCCCACGCTGATGCCTGGGGCTGGGGGGCCATGGTCCACCTGCTTCTTTGGTGGGGGCAGCGACCTGACCGACTCCCGGCAGGCTCAGGAGAGAAGCCGAGAAGGCCCGCCAGAGACCTCCTCAGCATCTGTGTCTCCAGTGGCCAAGGTCTCCAAGTTCACTCTATCCTCAGAGCTGGAGAGTAGCAGCTATTCCATAGAGAGGACGAGGACTAGTGAGGGTCAGGTTGTGCCCGACTGGGAGAAACCCAGGATCGGAGGAATGTCCTCGGAGACCAAGGCTCCCGCCCCCACCGACAGCCCCAGCCCGAGCTCTGAGCAGTCTCCCAGGCCGTCCCCTGGCAGGCCAGGGCAGGCAAAGAGGCCTAGCCCGAAGGCAGCCCACAGCAGCCCCTGCACTGACTCTGAGACACCATGCACTTTTCCCTCGGTGTTTCCTTCCCAGACGTTGGACCGAAGCAGCTCCACGGGCTGTCTCATGGAGCCCAGCCGGTGCCTGGCAACCCGCAGGAGGAACCTGTCGGGAGAGCTCAGGCCCTCGGCCAGCCCTTGTCGTCAGCTGGGCTCCCCGCCGTTGGAGATCGAGGGGCCTGGACAAACTCCTGGGAAGCCGGAGGACAAGGACGAAGGAAGTTCCTAGGCGCCCCCCCCATCTGCATCAGCATTAGGCTTCCAGTATAAAGGAACAGACATTTCCAACACTATTTCCTGCAGTATAGTCATCACACGCAGACGCACTCTCGCTCATGACCAAACTCACAGAAACACCCCTCGTTGAGTTATCCCTGTCTGGTGTCATCTTCCCATGTATGCAGTTACTTGTGCCTTTTCTGATGCCTTTTTTTGCTTGAAATGTTTAAAAGGAAAAACAAATGAGGTGTTTAAGGCTGTGAATATTTTTGTAGAGTTTTTCGAAGCGGGTTGGTGGAGCGGTGTCCTCTGGCATCATGGTGAGCTGAATGTCCCCTGGCCCCCCACCAGGGCCAGGGAGAAGCAGCTGTTTACTGTGGGAGGTTATGCACTGAAAAAAACAAACCCAAGAAACCTTTTTTTATACTGATTAAATGAAAAAAAAAAGTGTTCCTCTGTACAGATGTTTATGGTTCCTATTTATTGCAGGTTCTATTTAATCATCCATCAAGCGCTTCTCTGCTTGTCTCTTTTTTTGGTGGCCTTCCCCCGCCCCCCAGTGCCCTCAGATAGTTTGGAAATCCCTTCCACTTGACAACCCCTCCCCCCCCAATTGTGATTAGCCTGAGGAGGGAAGCCAGACAACCACCAGACAGACTGACGATGGCCCCGCCCAAACTCAGCTCTTCCCTGACGCCTCCCCATCAATCACAGAAAGCATCATTTTCTGTCTGTCTTTATTATATCTTGGAGGAATTACATTCAAGATATAGGAAGTGACCAGACAGGGGAGCCACTAACTCAACGGCTTTCATAACGCTGGTGATGCTGGTGACATTGGTGATGTTGGTGCCACTGGCTAGCCGGCTAAGGGGGTGTGGAACTGCCCCTCCTCCCGACCCTGCTCCAAGTAGGAAAGTCTAGGGTCTGGACGTTTGCCTGTCTCCCTCTCCCTCCTTCCCAAAAAGCTGAGTTGTCCTTTGGATGGCAGAGCCTCACATTTGCTGCCCATTAGAGAGAGCACAGAGAATTACTCAGCAAACCCTAACCCAGGCCTTTCAGAGGAAAGCCCTTGGAAAGATTTTTCAGATTCAGAGCTGTTGGCCCCATACCTCATAAAACTCTGGCCTTAAATCTCCCTGGGGTCTAGGTGGCCATGAGATCATTGATCGGCTGTAGAGCTAGAAGGGACCTTAAAAGTCACATGTATTCCAACTCATTCATATTACAGATGAGGCAACTGAGATCCAAAGAATCAAGTGATTCATCCAAGGTCACCCAGCTAGAAAGCAGAATCTGTCATTCTCTTTAATGGATCAGCCATCAGAAGTACTTGGTCTCATGGATCCAAGGTCATAGGATTTAGAGCCAAAGAGAACTTAGAGGTCATTCTACAGATGAGGCAACTGAGGTCCAAAGAATCAGGTGACTTATCCAGAGTCATCTAGCTTGGTAGGCAGGGTCCTGTTTTCTTTAATGAATGAACAAATGCACTTAGTCTTATAGAGCTAGAGGCAGGGGATGAGCTTCTGTACTTTTCGTAGCAAATTATTTCCTGTACTGGCAGGGATATGAAGAAAGGACGTTGGCACTCCTGGGATGGGGAATGGGCTATGCTGATCAGTTTCATTTCCCCAATTTTTTTTTTGTTGTAATAGTTGTCCCTGGTCAGATACTATCCAGAAGCTGGTCTCCAATTCATCTGTCTTTAGTATCTTCAGAAGCTCATATCAAAAGCAGAAAGCAGTCAAGGAGATTGTGAGTGGGAAGGAGGCTTGGTGTCAGGGATGTGCTGGAGTCAGCCTTAACCACCTCCCAAGAAAGCCAGTTGTTAAATTTTCAGTGTGAGCATTTATACCTCAGAAACTGGCAAACATTACAAACCAAGTTTTGTTGATTGTCTAGACTTAAGAAAATGATGGAGGAAGAAAAAAAAAGAAAGTGAAGCAGAAAATGTTAATAATACAAATTAAACTTAAAAGTGTGTCCTGCTATTCAGAGAGCTGGTTGTTAAACATTTAATCACACACCCCTTCTTGGTGTTCATTGTGCTCATATGAACATTTTGGCTACAGAAGGCATTGGGAGGCATTAGGGAGTGGCTCAGCGTGGGCCTGACTTGAACAGTTTGCTGCAGTAGAACGAGCACCATTTTGGGAGCCCAGGGATCTGGGTATGAATCTCAGCTCTGCCATTTAGCATCACTGCTCCTTGATGGACCTCAGTTTCCACTTCTACAGAATGAGGGAGTGGAATAGATCTTCTCTAAAGTCCCTGCCACTTTTAGATATTCTGGAGCCTCTTTGAGGAGGCCAGCCAATTGTCATTTCTCCAGGAAGTGATGGTTATAGTTGAGGTCAGGATGCCTTTTGCCACCTGTCCAGGTGCCAGATCTCCTGCTCCTGACCAGAATTCAGGAGTACCAACAACATCTGGACTTTCTTAGGCATTGGGTCACAGCTTAAAAGGTAGGTATCCCTTCATATTCTCTGCCCTACTGTTTGGTTACCAAATTTCAACATCTTGTCTCCTGTTGGCATGTCCTATCCAGGGATCCAGGAAGATGTCAAGGAAGGAATGAGACAGTTGAGAGACCAGTGTGCCAAAGCAACATGATCCCTTTCTCCCCCTTAGGGTAAAGGAGGACTCTCTGGCTAAAACATGGTTTGGCAGAGGCTAGCACGGAGGGGCCAGGAATAGGGATTGATCATAAGATCCTAGGATGTGGAGCTGAAAGAGATCACATTAACCAGACCCATGATTTTACAGCCAATATCTCTGACAAGTCACCATCTGACCTGGACTTGAACATCTCCAGTGAAGGGAAGCTCACTACCTCCTGAGGCAGCCCAATGCTAACTTGGAACAGAAGGAAATCGGGAAGTTTCCCCCACTGAAATCTTCCTCTATTCAACTTTTCCCATTGCCCCTAGCCCCTCCCTCAAACAGAGTCCATCTGTCCCCTCTTCCCTATGGCAGCCCCTCCAATCCTTGAAAATAGTGGTCATGTACCCGCTGGGCCCTCTGTTCTCCAGGCTCAACCTGGAGAATACAGCATGGTATTCAGTCCTCTGTCCTGCTGGTTGCCCTTTTCCACCCCTGCTCCAGTTTCCTCAGATGTGGCCCTGTGGCATTTTCATCCCCTCTAAGATCAATTGGGAGCAAGCAGTACCTAGAAACTACTTCTATCTGGTTAATTTTCTTGGGTGGGGAGGTGCGGTGGGTTGCTTTGAAATGCTCACTCTCTTCCAGTGATTCTGCCACCCAATGGGGCCCGATTCACTTGGGTACCCCTCTCCCCTCCCTGTTCTCATGATCTTTTTGCCCTTGAGTTTCTGCTATATTTTTTGACCTTCAGGGGCATTGGGACCGGGGAAGGCTGCAGAAACCCACCCAGTTCCAAGGCCACGCACCCATCTGTTTCTCATTGGTGGTCACATTAGGGAGCAAAGGCCCCTCATGCCAATTCATGCCGTGCTTTGTCTCTGTGCTAAAGTGTGCAGGTATTCTGTAAGTGGGCATGTCTTCAGACGATTTCTATGTTCTTACAAATGGCAATAGTAATCATTCCAAAAGAACTCTGTAGATATATGGCTATATATACAGAGGGACTTGGGGAGGGGGGGAGTTGCCTGTAATTGTATTTAAACTCTGGTTTCCACAGTTGCATCTTACAATGTCTGTATGGTATATATCGGTGCAAAAAACCCACAACAAGCCCACCCAGGTTTAAAGCACAGCCTCTTTATGTACAAATGAGGAAAACGATATTCCATGTGTGATGTTCCCGACTCTTCTTGTAAATGACGTCTGGACTGTGAATGAGAAGTTTTTACAAGTATAATAATTTATTACAGCTCAGTCTGTCTGTTCAGTCTGGGCCTATTTTTTTTTTTTAAACAGCATGTTGGAATAAATTTTCTAAGTCCCAACATAGCCCTCCTTGCCTGGCTGGTGACCTTTACTCACCGAACACAAAAGCTGGAGGGAGTCTTCGCCATCATCACGTCAAGCCCCCTCATTTTCCCAGATGGGGAGCTGAGGTCCAGAGAGAAGAGATCTTGCTGCTTGAGGAAAAGAGGGCCAAACCTGAGGCTGGAACCCACTAATTCCACCACCACCACAACCACCCCACCGAAATCACTTTTAGGATCGTAGATGTAGAGCTGAAAGGGACATTGGAGTCCAATTATCTCATTTTACAGAAAATAATAACTAGCTTTAATATAGGGCCTTAAGATTATAAAATGCGGGGCTGCTAGGTGGCGCAATGGATAGAGTACTGGCTCTAGAGTCAGGAGGACCTGAGTTCAAATCTGGTCTCAGACCAGACACCACTTGACACTTATTTGCTGTATGATCTTAGGCAAGTCACTTAACCCCAATTGTTTCACAAGAAAGAAAGACAGAAAGAAAGAAAGAAAGAAAGAAAGAAAGAAAGAAAGAAAGAAAGAAAGAAAGAAAGAAAGAAAGAAAGAAAGAAAGAAAGAAAGAAAGGAAGAAAGATTATAAAATGCTTTACAAATATTCTTTGTTTTGATCCCCAAAACAACACCAGGCAGTAGATACTGCTATCATCCCCACTTTACAGATGGGAAAATTGAGGCTTAAGGGAATGAAGTGACTTGCCCAGGGTCACACAGCTAGTAAGTGACTAGGGCCAGATTTGAACTCCAGTCTTTCTGTCTTGAGGCCCAGCGTTCTATCCACTATGCCTTCTAGTTGCCTCTAGATGAAGAGACTCAGGCACAGAGAAAGTAGATTGAATTGCCTAAGGTCACACAGGTTCTAAGTAATAGAGATGAAAAGGACAGAGTCACATTTGTCCCTGGGGGCCATATGGCTCCCTGATGCCTGTACCTGCCTGGACTGGAGAGGGGTTTGGGGTGAGGATTACCCGCAGCACAAAGTAGTGGAAAGAACTTTGAATCTAGAAAAGAGCTAACCTTGAGTCCCATGGCTAATGTTTTCCAGCTCTGTGATCCCAGGACCCCGGGAATATTGGCTCAGAGCTGAACAGTACCTCAAAAATCATCTCTTCCAATCCCCTTAACACTGAGGCCCAGCCGAGAGAGGATAGGTGACTTGCCAAAGGTCACACAGGCAGGAAGTGTCAGAGTCAGGATTCAAACCCAGTTTCTCCAGCAGTAAATGCAGTGCTTTCCACTGTCTGGGCAGCCTTGGGTATCAGCTGTCTCTTTCCCAAAATGAGGGGAGTGAGCTGCATGCTCAGAATGACCTAAGAGGGAGCATTTAATTACTCTTTAAAGATCAGTATATCTACCTAAATAAACATGAAATATGGACCTTTTCCTGGCCAGTAAGAGAAGGATTTCCCATCCTGATGCTGGGCCCTGTAGAGCCAAATACCTAAACTATGACTTAGAACATTATTTCAGAGCTGGGAGGGCCCTTAGAACAGAAACTATTAGTGCTGGAAGAAAGCTGAGAACATAGAATGTCAGGGGTGGGTGGACCTTAGAACAAAGAAAGTCAGAGCTAGAAAGGACCTTAGCATATAGAATATCAGATCTGAGAGGGAGCTTAGAACAGAGAATGTCAGAACTAGAAAAGACTTTAGATGCTGTCTATTCTAGGGGTAGAGAACTTACAACCTTGAGGCCACATGTGGCCTTTTAGGTCCTTGGGTGCGGCCTTTTGACTGAGTCCAAGTTGTTGGGTTTTTTAATGAAAAGGCATCTATTAAGTGCTTACTGTGTGCAAAGCCCTGGGGATATAAATAGAAAGTGAGTCCAAGTTTTACAGAACAAATCCTTTTATTAAGTGGATTTGTTCTGTGAAGTTTGGATTCAGTCACAGGGCCACACTTGAGGACCTAGAGGGCTGCATGCTCCACACCCCGATCTAGCCTAACACCCTCAGTATACAGATGGGGAAACTGAGGCCCAGAAAGAGGGAATGACTTAGGCCCATGGTCATGTAAGTAGTGTTGGACTCAGGGCTTGAATCTAGGCCTCCTGACTCCCGAATCCAGTTCTGTGATTCCTTCCCTTCTACACCGCTGTCCTAGACTCTCCAAAAGGAGCTAAAATGGGTGCCTGTGGACCTTTGACCGGATATGGGGGTCACTGTAGGCTTGGCCAGTGGTAGGTGAGCAGTCAAACCAGCTGCCAGTGAAGGGAAAAGGGAGTCAGAGGATTTGGATTTGAGTTCTGCCCTTGCCTCTCATCGGACAAGCCACTTCCACCTCCTTGAGCCTCCGTGTCTACCACTGTAAAGGGAAGGAATTGGAGGTGATGGTACAGGAGCTGCTCCCACCATTTTAGCCTACTGGAGGCATGTGCTTGTGAGCAAATCACTTTCTCCCTTTGAAACTGCTTTCTCATCTGTAAAATGGGGATGGTGGTGCTGGTGCTACTTTCTCCACCAGGATATTGTAGGGAAGAAGAAAAAAAAATCTCTGTGTAAAGTTCAAAGTGCTACAAAAGGGGAGTCATTCTTCTTATTGTTATTATCGCCAGCCCCTGTGGAACTTTTATAGGGACCTTAGGACCTTCGACCAGCTGCCACCCGTCCCCCACAGGCTTGAAGCTCCTCCCCTTGCCCTGCTGTCCCTGAGCAAGTCCTCAGTTTGCCAGAAACTGCTGGGCCCCTCCCCGCCCCAGACAGCCCTTCTTATCCTGACCCAAAGCTACTGCTGCCCTCATGGGTCCAGAGGGCTTCATCAGCAAGGCCACCTGGGGCTGCTCCCAGGACTGGATTTGACCTTGGCCTTGGCCCTGGAGTCCTCTTTCCCCAAATCCCCTGGCCTTAGCTTCTAGCCCAGGGTAAGAGTCGTTGTCCCCAGGGCCCAAAACACTTGATTCCTTGGGGATGTAGAAGGCCCCAGAGGGAGAACACAGAACCTGAAGATGGGCACCTGGGCT